CATCAACGCCGACCAGACACCGCTGTGGTTAGAGATGCCGGCGACGACCACCGTGGAGCAGACGGGCGTGAGGTCGGTGCCCATTCGCAGCGGTGGGTACCAGAAGGAGAGAGTGACCGTCATGCTTGCGTGCACGGCGACGGGCGAGAAGCTGAAGCCGTGGGTGTTTTTCAAGCGCAAGACACTCCCCAAGGGTGACTTCCCGAACGGTAAGTGATCGTCCACCGTGTTTATTCCCGTTACTACCTGAGTCGTTAACTGTTCTTTTTCGTTGCGTGCAGATGTTGTGGTCGGCTGCCAAGCCAACGGGTGGATGGAGGCCGCAGGCGTCATCGAGTGGCTCAACACGGGCGTGGTGCCGTTCCTGAAGCCGAAATTCGGCCTGCAGAGTCGTAGCGCCATGCTGGTGCTCGACTCGTATCGCGGTCACCTGACACCAGAAGTCAAGGCGAGATTCGCGGCGCTCAACATCGTGCCTGCTATCATTCCGGCGGGTTGCACGGCAGACCTGCAGCCCCTCGATGCGTCGATCAACAAAAGCTTCAAAGCAAGCATTCGTCAGCAGTACCAAAATTGGTTTGAGGAGGACGGCATGAACATCCTGATCCCGGCAGGTGAGTGACGGCATGTGCTCCCGTCTGCAAATCTTGAGCTTGAATGCATGTTTACTTGTCTCATGTTTTCCCCGCCCCACTCCGTGTGATGCAGGGAACATCAAGAAACCACCTCCGGAGGTGGTGCTCAAGTGGATTTCACGGGCCTGGAAGGCGGTGCCCGCCGACCTCATCAAGAAAGCCTTCCTCACTTGCGGCATCAGCAACGCCCTTGATGGGAGCGAAGACAAACTGGTGCTAGCGCACCGAAGGTGCCAGTTGTCCCATGAGGTGGAGGTGGACGACGACATCCAGGCAGATGGGTTCTGGGGCAACAACTCCACGGAGCCTGAGTCGGACGAGGAGGAAGAAAAGGCAGTAGGGTAGACTAGGCAGGTTGAAAGGTGTAGTGCAGGACAGCAGAGACCACCCTTGTATGTGATAGTCATTCTTAATGGAAAGTTTAGAACATGTAGGCTAGGTAGGTTAAAAAAAATGAAATTCTTTTTTTTTTTTAACTAAACGAGTGCGCTTATAATAAGTCAAGAATTCCAAAGGGGTGCGCTTATAATTGAGGATCGGCCATAAGCGCATTGCTCCAGATACAAGCGCATGCGCTTAACATAGGCCTGCGCTTCTATCCGGGGCCATACGGTACTTGTGTGTTCAGTTGGGGACAAAGGACGAGGGTGGCTGATGATGATGGTGATGATGATGATCACAAGTCTCAGACAGCTGTGGAAAGCTGCCTAAAATCACCAGCTTTCTCAAGTTGTCTGTGATATAGAGAATCATTTCTCCCTTCCATAACGTTTTCCTACATCTTCAATCAAAAGTCTGATACGTAGCACACGAACTGTGAATATAAGATACTGAGAAAATCATATTAGATGTTTGAATCATTGGTCATATAGGTACACGAACATATTGACTCGCATATCCACAACCTAGGTTGGACCCTAGATGGCGTCACCAGATCTACGAAATAAGGTCTCGCGCCGGATCCGCGAGCACCGCCGGATCTTAGGCTAGCAATTTAAGCGTATATTGCTGTACAAGCTGTTCAGCAGAGGTGTCAGTGTACGCGACTCGGTCGTAGCTTGCGACGAGCTCGCTGGTTGTTGGGCCTGGAGCGAGTCACGCGTGAATAGCGGCTAGGGTTAGAATCCCATGTCCGTGCTGTTGAAAGTCCCCACCGCTGCAATGTCGAAAAAGGCTCGAGCGGTGGCGGAGGCTGAAGAGGATTCAGATCCGATGCAGACCGGTTCTTTGATGCACGATCGAAAGCGATGGTTATTCAGACAAGAGACTTCATGAAAAGAGCTTCGCCGCGTCGGTGTTGAGACTCGAGTGGCGGCGGAGGCTACTCCTCGGCGCGTGTGCGCGCGGGGATGACGCCGTCGAACAGACGTGCTGCTTCGGGCCGGTGCTGCTGCGTCGCGAACTTTTCGTCGAATGGAAGTGGGAGTGCGAGTGCGAGTGCGAGTGAGAACGAGTCACCAGCGCGGACTCGTCGTAAAAGCTTAGATCCGCTTGCCAGCTACTAGAGGAGCTGCTGCTGGTTGTGCTGCTACCGCTGCTCCAGCTGCTGCTGATGCAATCCCACGCGTCTTCGCCTCGCGAGCAGACACGTGGCGAGGACGCGTCAATCTCAACGGCTGCCTCCGCGCCGAACTCGTCATCCTCCGCGTCGAGCGTAGCGGCGCGATCTGATTGCGTGGCGCATTCGGCGAGAGACGACTCCAGGATGCGGATGAAGTTTTGGCAGTGGACGGCGCTGAGCTGGCGGTGAAGGTCCAGAAGATGAAGCTTGCTTTCGAGCACTTCGAGCTCCATGGTGTGCGCGAAACTTCAAGTTGGCGTAAAGCGAACGGCTTGCGAAAGAGGAATCTTTGATTGGAATCCTAATTAGCCTTTTCTCTTATGCTGGATAGCACGAAGTCTGGACGTCTAGAAGACTTGGTCTTGCACGAAAGACTGAAGACGAAGGAACGACTTTTGAGCGACGATGGTGAAACATTGACGATGCTCTGAATCGTCCTTGCAGGTGTTTTATGCTGGACACCCAAGACTGCTATGGAATAGGGGGGAGTCGAAGGGGAGTGAGGCAGGAGGAAGCCAGAGAGACGAGGCAAGCCGAGGGGAGTGGAAAGGGGGCAAGGTAAGTGTGTGGTGTGGAGGAGTGGGTCAAGCGGGGCAGACGAAACGACTGGTGGTGGTGATGCGCGGCGGGATGAGCATCTGGATCATAAAATGGTTACGGGGAGGTGGTGGGGGTGGAGTTGGGGGAGGAAACCGATGGGGGGGATGGGGCGAGTGGGGATCGTTGGGAGAAATTGAGGGGGAGACGAGGAGGCCATATGGGGGAACCCTAGGAGCTTGGGAACAGTTTTCCGCGTATAGGCGGAAGAATTGGAAGGATGAGATGCGATCATGCAAATGAGATGCGATCGTGCGATGCGAGATGGGCTCGATCGGGTTTGGGTTTCGTGGCGGGAAGAGAATTGGGCTCGTGGTCGAGCTGGAAAGTGGAGCGGGTGGTGGCAGTGAGGGGGTGTGGCCTGGCATGACGGTGGCCTGGGGTGAAGTGTTTGGCGGCAATGGGGGATGTTCAAATCGGAAAGCTCCGATCTGGAGGATCATTCGTTACATCACCATTAATGGCCACGATCAGGGGAGTGTGCAAGGGTGGGCGTCGTGTCGTGTGACGTGTTTTGTATGGGGCTGCTTGACGCGGGATTCTGTTCGTTGCATGAGGTGAAACCCATGTGCCCCACCGAAACGAAAGCTCTGAAAGACGTGACTATTCTCGAAGTACTCTGACCAAACTGCGGAAGGATTTTGTGCCGTTCAAACACTTCAGTGTCGAAGTGTACGTGAGAACTGAGAGGTTCCATTTGGTTGGAACGAAGCGAAAAACAGTGATAGCCTCGCGAGGGGAAGTCCATCAAAATGTTCAAATTCGTGTGGGCACCTACAGAAAAAACTGTAGCCAGAATGTTGAACGCTTATTCATCAGATCAGTTACAAGCCGACTGCCAGCTCAGTGCCAGCCGATCGCAAAAGCAAGTGCGCTGAAGATCCCAGCGGAATGAGGTCGACGGAATCGAGTTGCCAGGGTCGACGAGGGGGGTCGACGGACAGGGGTCTGACGAGGCGGGCGAGTGACGCGCGTGCGGGCCCGCCAGCCTGGCCCTGGGCTGGGCCGGGCGCACGACCGCCGCCCCGCAACCCCCCCCCCCCCCGAGAGTGAACAGCGACCCACGTTACCGGGTGGGGGCGGCGAGCTGGCGAGACCTCGGGCGAGGGGAAGTAACCCTGCCGCGAAGGCAGCCCACCCCTCCCTCGTGCCCGCGAGGCCCTAGTAACCCATCGCGGCCTGCCCGTACGGGCAGGCGAGGTCCACGCGAAAATCGGGGGCTCCCCTCGGGTCGCTCGACTATTTCGCGACCCGTTGCGGTGACGCCACGTGCTCGCCCGTCATTTCGCATCGCGTGCATGAGACATTTCGTACCCCCCGAAACTCGAGCGAAAACCTGGGTCGTTCGCCACGGGGCGCACGGCTTTCGCGACCCTCTGCGAAATCGACACGTGGTGCCGAAACGTCGCACCGCGCCCACGCGAAGTTGCGTCCCCTGGCCGACCGAGGCCGGGGCACGTGACGTCGACCTGTTGGCTCGGCGGCGAGGGTGCACTTGTGCCACGCAACTTGTGCACGAGCCCTGCCGAGCCAGGCATCACGGCCCCCTGGGCGACGCTCAACCGGGCCTGCGTGGCTCCGCCTGGCTTTTCTTCGTTGGAGGTGGACTGGCCCCTCATTTTCGCGTTCTCGTTTCTCTTTCATTTTTCCTCCCACCTCGGCGCCTTCCATACTCCCACCGCTTCTTCCCTTAGCCTGTAGCATAGCATCCTCGCTCTCCCGCCATGGCAGCCGGCCAGAAAGCCGCCGAAGCGGCGCCGACCTCGCTAGATTTCCCCCTGCATCTAGACATCGGTAGAGGACACACGGCCAAGCTCGAAGAGCACGACTACGCCGTTCTGACAAACCCTATGCTAGAGTTTAACGCCCGTTGCTTGGGACTCGGTCTCAAGTGAGTGAGATGTCGTCGTCGACGGGCCTATTCCATGCTGGTCGGCCATGGCGGGGTTTCAATGCGTCCAGTAGTATATGTCGACGGGCTTAGAGTTCAGGCACATCACATCGGTGATGCCGACGTAATGCGTTAGGTCGTCGACGACGCTGAGTTGTGCCGAAGTCGTTCGGCTCCCGTCATTCCACCGTCGTGCCGCGCACCTATACCTCTCTAATCTGTTGTAATCATGCATGCGTGCAGGCACGCATGGATCCGCTCAACGGATGCAGGCGAGCGATTGTGGTCGATAGGAGTCGGCCGGCTTCGGGCGGCGATGGGTCAGGACGACCACACATGCTTTGCGACGATTTTCGACGCCGACGTGGCGGTTATCCCACTGATATCGAGGTGAGCAGGTTCGAGGTCCTGCTGTGTGCTGCAACCTGTGTCGGTGATTTGTTCTGAGCGCCATTGACGTGCCTTGTCTGTGCAGCATCGCACCGCTTCCGGGAGCACATTGCAGCGTCGTTCTCATCCTGTGCCCCGGCGATTTGTTCAATGCCTCGGGGCAGGAGGTCAGGACCTCGATCCGGCACGCCGACCCGCAGACAGTGAAGGAGTGGCACCGCGACGAGGCGATCCGCGTGCTGAAGTGAGCTCGATAGTTTAGTCGACATCGCATACATTGTCGACACGACGCGTGCACCGTGCTAACCGACCGTCCTTGCCGTGCTTTTGCAGGTTTTTCCGGACCGCTGTTCTGGCCGAGCTGCGGCGCGAGGGTAGGAAATGGGAGTGGGCGAAGCCGTCCGAAGACGAGGTGCAGGAGAGGCTCGCCGACTGCGACGAACCCCTTCGAGATGTGAGTTACGGACGATTCGCCGTCATATGGTGTCACATCTACGCCGCCCTCATCCTTGCTCTCTGCACTGTTGTATGCAGAAAATTCCCGATACCGTCCGGGACTCGGACGCGGGCTCCGGCCTGCTAGCAATGAGCGCGTTGATCTGGGTTGTGAGGCGGTTCCAGCGCCTGACCGGCGACCTCCGTCGCATTGCCACCAGCATGGACAAGCCCACCGTCTCGGGGTTGAAGGCGCTGCGGAACGAGATGGTAGCCCTCATCAAGAAGCAAGTCCCGCTCATACGGTCGGGGAAAACCGTTGTTGCTGCCGACGCCTGTGACGACGACGGCGAGGAAGTCCATTCTGCATCCGTACCAGTAGGGGTCGCCCCGAACGTCGCTGATGCGCGTGGCAAGTCGGGAGTCGGCGTCGACGAGGCCGATGCGGCCGCAGGAAAGGGGGTGACCGGGACCGAGGTTGTTCACGGGGATGATGATGGGGTCCAGGATCGCGAGGAGGAACGTGAGGGTGAGGGGGGCTCGGAGGAGTCGTCGGGGTCGATGTCGGGGTCGAGGTCGGGGTCGGGATCGGGCTCGGAGTCGAAGTCGGAGGAGGAGCAGGAGCAGGAGACGCAGGAGCACGAGAGGCAGCACCAGGAGGAGCAGTTGGTAGAGGTGGAGGACGTGGAAATGGCGGAGGGGTACGTTGTCGGAGGAGCGGAGGGGTACGTTGTCGGAGGAGCGGAGGAAACGGGTGGGAGATCGGCGGATGTCGAGAACGACGAAGGGGAGGGGAAGGGTGCGACAGCGAATATCGGCGAGGTCGGCGTGGAGGCGGCTCACGGAGGTGGTGGCATGGTCGAGGTCGGTGAAGGGGATAACGCCGCGGTCCCGGAGCAGAGGGGCGTGGATGTGCATACCGATGCCACCGCGGAGAAGGCCGGCGGGGAGCGGTCTAGGAGGAAGAAGGCGGCGAGCGGTCATCCCGGTTCCACCGCGGCTGGGCGGCAGGCGCGGCTGGACGTCGTCGATCAGCTGAGGGCGGAGAACAGGCGATTGCGTGCAGACAATGCACTCCTTGAACGGCGGCTCGGTGAGCAGACGGGGCGGGTCGACAGCTTGGCGGCGGCATTAGCTGGGCTCCTCGAGAAGTTGAAGGGTTTGACCGCCCAGGTCGCCGACACCGACCGGAAATCGGAGGAGCGCCTCAAAGAGGCCACGTTGACCATGGCGACCACAATCACCGAGGGCCTCACCGACAACATGGACAGCGCCATTCAATCGGCCAAGTCCTTCGCCGAGCTAGCGAGGCAGACGCTGCTGGATCTTGACGACCCCAAGGGACGAGCGGCGGTCGCACGCGCGACCGCGGTGAAGACAGTGACCGAGCACGTGACGGCGGAGGTGGGCGAGGCGAGGAAGGGGTTGGAGGAGTCGTTCATCAAATACATCGGCGCCGCGCAGACCAACATTGCCGCCGCCGTCGCGCCCCGCCTAGTCCAGCCGCCGCCGCCTACCGGCCCAGCGCAGGCCTTGCCGGAAGATTTCCTGAAGTCTTTCAAGGAGGACGTGCTGAAGGCGGTGACGGAGACCACGCAGCAGTCCTTCCTCGCCTCCGGACTGAAGATTATGGCCGAGGTCGTCGGCACGGTGGCGTATGCTCGGCGTGGGTCGTCGCCGTCGGCAAACGACGCCGGCCAAGCGCAACCAACGGAGGGCTTGAAGCTGGGTCACAAGAGGCGGGGAGGCGGCGGGGGGGGCGACGGGGACAATTCGGCGAACACGAAGCGGAGCAAGGGAGGCGGGGGGTCTGGCGGCGGTGGGAGCATGGGAGCCGGCGACGGCAGTTCGTTGAAGCAGTCGGGGAAGAGCGTGGTCGACATCCTCAGGAAGCACTGGGCTCAGGTTGGAGCGGCCAGCACGGGCCATGGTGGTGGGGGTCCCGCCGACGAGCATGCCACTGATGACGCACTGCCAATGGCTCCGCCTTCGGTCGGCGTTAAGCCACCACGACAGGGTAGCGGTGTGAAAGGCCTGCGCGACAAGGAGAAGGCCGCCGCCAAAACGGCCCCAGGCGGGTCCGCGAAAGCTGGCCAGGGCCCGAAGACGGGGGTTGCGGAGGCGTCAGCGGTTCCTCACCAGTCTCCCGCGGGTGCACGCCATCCGACCGGACCGTCTGCCGGGCGACCTACCGACGTCCCGCGCCATGCCGACGTACCGTCTGCCGACAAGGTTGGCCGCGCGGGAAAAGGGGCGGCAGTTGCGGACGCGCTCAAGGAGCAGCTCAGGCTCCTAGCCGGCCACAGGGCTGTTCAACAGGCCCCCCCTGGTGTCGACGTCCCATCGGCCAGTGGGCCACGTGTAGTGCCGGTCGTCGCCGCCCGTACTCCTGCAGACCCAAAGTCCGCGTTGTTGCGCGCCCAGCTGGGCGCACTAGCGTCGACTGAGAGGACTCAGCAGGCTTCTGGCTCTGGCTCTAAGCCGTCGTCGGCGAATGTCGCACCACCCACCCATGTGGCAGCTGATGTGGAGAAGGCGGCGGAGAAGGGCGTTCGTGCCGCGCTTGCCACCGGCGGCGGCGCCGTTGAGGAGGTCCCCGCAGACGCTGATATCGCTGCCATACAGGCCCATCTGGATGCAGCCAATCCCCGAACCCTGGCCATCTCCGACACGGAACATGTGGAGCCTTCGGCGGGACTCGTCGGCATCGCGGCAGAGCCTAGTGCGACCGGTGATGCGGTCGGTGAGGGAAAGTCGAAACGGAAGGGGAAGGCGGGCTCACAGAGGAAGACGCGGGAGAAGTCGGAGGTGAAGGCGGCGGATAAACAGAAGGGGATGGCGGCGGAGACGGCGGCGGACAAAGATCGAGGCGGCATTGGGGAGGTTGAAGGGAAAGGGGAGAATCAGAAGTCGCCCGGCGAGGGTACGTCGACGGGGAGGAAGGGGAAGGACAAGTCGGTCGGAGAAGGTGCGTCGACCGGGAGAAAGGGGAAGGAGAAGGCGGTCGGCGAGGGTTCCTCGAAGGGGAGAAAGGGAAAGAGGAAGGCGGAGGAGGAGGATGAGGATGTCGAGGAGGTGGAGGAGGTCGAGCAGGAGGAAGAGGAGGAGGAGGAGGAGGAGGAGGAGGAGGGGAAGGGCAAGGAGAGGAGGGGTCATGGCATCCGACACGATACCTCGGGCGACAAGCAAGGGTGGGTCGGCGAGATTAAGGTGCACGGCATCAATCGATACATCGGCAAGTCGCGGGACAAGATGGAGCTCGCGTACGTTCACTCCATCGCGTACGTCGTCTACGACGGTTTCGTGAGCAAGGTGCTCATGACCGAGCTCACCGGCTTGGACAGCGCCGAATTGGAGAGGTGGAAGGAGGTGTGGGAGGAGGTCAGGATCTTGCCGACAGGGATGTGGACGGTGATGTGGGCCCGGGGTACGCTCCTTCCAAAGACACGGTAAGTCGGCAATCCTCCGATTCAAAGTCGATGTCGTTGTCGTTGTCACTCATGTTCGCCCTGTTTGTGGTGGCGTGACAGGCTGACGGAGATCCTCGACGCGTATCGCCATTACAAGTCCACAGGCGATTGTCTCCACGCCGCGCTCCTGCCAGCGATATGGTACCCAGTCGATGCTAGCACCGAGGAAGGCCGGGAGAAGTCGGCGTCCATGATGTCGGCGATGATAGGCCGCGTGTCAATGTGCGCTGCATATGGGAAGACCGCTGCGGCAGCGGCGAAGAAGGAGGGAGACAAGGAGGAGAAGACGGATATGGCGGCATGGGCGTTAGCAGCATCCGCATGCGCTGTGTGGTGCTTCGTCGAGAACGGCGATGCCCAGCTGGCGGATGCTGTGGAAGAAGGGAAGTCGGCGGCGATCATCGGCGGAGCGAGCCAGGCGACCGCCGATGTATTCGGAAAAGTCATGGAGGCGGTGCTGAAAGCCGAGATGAACAGGGACCGCCCCTTGGGAGAGGTTGCCTACAACGTCGCGCCAGCACTCCAGAGGACCGCCCTTGATAAGGTATATCCGGGGGGGAATGCTGGAGTAGATGCCGACGTTATCGCTAGAGCGACGGTTGAGACGATGGCGTTTTGGGGAATGTGCCCCGTCGCCGGGCCGAAACTAAGAGCGAGGGACATCGCGGTGCCGATTGACGCGCAGATGAAGGCCGATCTTGACAACAGGGGGAGGAAGGGTCTGAGGGGCAAGAAGGGGACGAAGACCAAGGGCGGCACGGAGAAGGTCAAGAAGTCGAAGAAGGACAGCACGACGGCCTAGTCGACGGCATGCTAAGATTGAGTGCTGCGTGGACTCGATGATGAAATGGTCGATACCGTTTTCCTTGTTTTGGCTGTCGGATCCCTTTGATGCTCTTTGTTTGTGTTTTTTTTTGTGCGTGCCTGTCTACTTTACGTAGGATGAGTAATGAACACATTAGCTAGTAATGATTGTCTACTTCAGTTTGAACGACACGTGAATGCCCCGCTAGGCCGAGAACAACAGGATCATTGAGAGAAACAAAAAGTCGACATCAGTATCAGTATGAAACATAGGCATGCTGCATCAACATCTACAACATGCAACAGGCCACAGTAGCAGGAGGCCTGGGAACATTCAAGCGGTTTTCTTGCGCTTGGTCGACTTATTGGTCGGAGGCAGCTGCCCGGCGTCGTTTTCGCGGGCCAGGTCGGCCAACGTCTTCTTCATCTGCTCAACCCAGGTGTCCGGGAACAGGTCGGCGACCCACGTTTCGGGCTTGAGCCCGCGCGCCACGAACGCACAGGCGACACGAAGCTTGGAAAATTCCGCCTTGCCGAGCCCTTTGACGCCCTTACCCTGCCCAGCATAGGTCGCTACGGCGTCCGCGTTGAGCACCGTGAGGGCATCCGCGAAGGTCCCAATGCCAGGCGCCGCTATCTTGTTAAGCGCGTCGACGGTGGCTTCCGTGTCGGCTTCGCCGTCGCTCCTGCGAAGTTGGCGCACCGCATCGATGACCTTCATCATGCGGCGCACCCTCGTCCCGTGTGCTCCCTGCGAGGCTCCGTCGAGGAGGGTGTGGCGGTCGACGAATCCCGGCTCCCTGAACCTGTCGCACAGACGACGGGTGTCGGCGCTGGTGCACGAGGTCCAGAGGCGCCACGCGTCCTTGACGGTCGTTGCAGTCCGCCAAGGCTGCACTACGTTCAGCTCGTAGCTAGCCTCCTCGACCGTCTGTGGGGGTTTATTGGGTTTGTTGGCTCCTCCACCCCTGCTTGCCGACTCCGCGGAGCCACCGTCGCTCGGCGACTGGTCGTTAGCAGCTGGCGGCGCCTCCGGCATCCTTCGAGCTTCTGAAACGCGGAGAGCCTCGGTGAGGCGTGTTATCTCGGCCGCGAGCGACGCGATGGTTGCGTCGCGATTCTCGATCTTCTCCTCGAGGTCGAGCTTCTGGACCGTTGACCGCTCCCTCTCGAGCTTAAGCGTCTCCGTGAGGGAGACGACCGCGAACTGGGCGTCATGGCGGACCGATATCTCCTGCAATGGTATGCGAATAACGGTGCAGATGAGGGGTTGTAGCGGTCATAGATAACATCGCGACGTCGGCATAAAAGATGACCTACCTCTGGCTGGATGAGGGTTGGATCTTGCCGCTTTTTTATGGTGTCGGTGTCGGTCTTCTCGACCCTCTTCGCCCAGTGCTGGAAGAGGGGAATCCGGCAGAGCTTGGAATACTGGATGTACGGGTGCCAAGGGGTGCGGACGAGTTTCACCGCGAGGTCCTCGGCGACAATGCGGCGGAACATCAGAAGGGTGCGCCAGAAATGCACGGCCGCAACGTCGGCGTCGGACCCCTTCTTCGCGAGTTCTTCTGCCTGCAGTTAGACATCAGACGGGGGTTATCTCCATGGTGGATAGGACAGTACCATGCAAGATTGGTCGGCACCGATAAACAAACCTTGTTGAGGAGGTCGTCGACGTCGGGGAAGATGTGCTCGGCGATGAGAGCGAGGAGTTCGTCTCCCGGTTCCACCCTACTGCGACCCAAGAAGTAGTCCTGCGTGAATCCCGAATAGCCGGCCTTCTTCATCACCACGCCGACGGGAATGGACGTGATGTAGGCTCGAGTCATCTTGTCGAGAGCCCAGTGACCCAGCTCGGCTATCTCGGCGCGAGGCGTACCTTGGATGGCCAACTCCTGCGCCCCGCCCGCCCGAGCGGCATGGACGTTCCGCTTGCAGAACACCCCGTTCGTCTTCCACATCTGCCTCGTCCATCGCTGGTGGCTGGGAGCTGAGAGTTCGCCCTGCTCGGGGTCGTTGCGGGCGAAGAACAGGTGCTTCTTGTACCAGAGCTCGCGTGTGCTGGTGTCGACCGGCGGAATGAGGTCGACTACGTGAAACTGGCCGATCTGGTCGAGGACGAAGTGTAACCACAGCCCGGTCTCGCCGACGGCGCACAACTCCGCTTCTAGGTGCCGCGCCGCGTAGCTCTGTTGAAGACGCGCATCCTTCGACGTCTTCGAGTTCCGCGCGGCGACCACCATGACGACCGGCTGGTTATCCGGGTTCACCGACGAGGTGCTCGCCAGTCGGTACAGGAAGATGTCGGGGAGCGTTATCTCGCGTATGCTTGCACCGCGCATGAGGCTGTGGTGGGAGAGCAGCGTGAGCACCTTGATGAGAAGAAACCTCCACAGCGTCTGCGAAGGTGTGGTGAAATGCGGGCTCCATGCCGACGCCGCCCAAGCCGGCAGCACCCTCGTCATTATCTGGCGGAACTGTTCGGCGGTGTATGTGTCGCCGATGGTGCCGCGTCGACGGTCGGCGCATTTACTGTCGACATAACAATATATGGATATGAATATTAGGGCGAGGAAACAAATCGATGGCGACATAACACGGCGATGCATGCCAACTTACTCGAGGTCCCTCTGATTTTTCGTGCGGACCATGACCCGCACCTCCGACCGGACCACCGAGATTTCCCGCATGATGCCCAACTCCTTCTCCTTGAAGAGCGTCGCCTCCACCCTCGCCGCCATCTGGCAGGCCTTGATGCGGCCGAGGATCATGTGCACCGTGTAGGCTTGCACTGGCTCGTTCGTGTCGGCGTCGATCTTGTACTCCCGCCTCATGAACTTGATGTAGGCGCGCAGTCGCGTACTAGTGACCCGGGGGCCGTGCAGCCATATGTGCTTCCGCTTGACCACCTTCTCGTTGTCCCAATCCTTGCTCTTGTTGTTGTGTGTCCAGTGCCCTATCTCGTCGACGTGCCTCATTTGTTCTGCTGTCGGCAGTTTGTCGCCAATTTTTTTAAGCATCTTCGCCGTCCACCTTTTGTAGTCGTATATCCATGAGGTGTAGGACTTGAGCGTGCTCTTGGCCTCTATGGTTTTCAGGTGGCGCATTGCCTCCATCACGAGCACGTCGACGCACGCGTACACCATATCTTCCTCTACGAAGTCGGCCGCCTTCCACATTTCTCGAGGGACCGACGTGTGCAGCAGATCCTCAAGCTCGTTCTCGTCCAACAGTTCCTCTATGAACGCACGTTCCCCCCTGAGTTTTTCTTCCAATGTGCGCGGACCTGCACCACGTCGGGGCCGCGGGTCGTCTTCGTCGTCCTCGTCGCTCGCCGATGAATAATCGTCCTCATCCTGGTCGCCCGATCCGTCCGGCACAGACGACGGCCCGGCCTCCCCTGCATCCGTCGGCGTCGACGTTTTGCGTGGTTTCGTGAACTCCCCTATCGGCGCGGGCGGAACGTCCTTGGTGAACTCTCCCTGCGGGATTTGGGCCAGGGCGTCGAGATCGTAAAGCAGCGGCAAAGTCGACGAGGGGTTACTGGTCGGTGTACGGTCTACCGGGCGGACGTCCTCATCCTGGCTAGCGGGGTTCATGACGTCCGTCATGTCGACATCGGCGGGGGGTGGGTTGGTTTGCGGCGGTGTCGAACGAGGCTGTCCTCTGGCCATGATACCGCGACCTAGGGCGATAGGAAGTCGGCGTGGTGAGGTCGATAAACTACTTAATGCGTATTCTATGTCGGCGGTATCTGGCAGGTCGGGACAGCAGACAATCCTACGAGAGGTCGGCGACCACGTCTGCCTACTATCACGACGCCGACGTTACGCCTCTAGAGAAAATCAAAGTGCCGGCCGTCAAGTCAGTGGTAAAAAAAAAAAGCAATGGCACATACAATGGCAGGCGGAATGAGCGACCATTTCGGGGACCACGGATGGGGATGGTCGTGAGCGACTCCGCACCACTTGGCGCTCCACGCAAACCCCAGTGCACGACGCCGCCATGCATGTACGCTCGTGCGGCGGCGCCGTGTCCGACGTGCCACCAGGCGTGCATGGCTGCTTGCTTGAAGCGCTTCGCTCATCATGCTCTTTTCGTGGCTGCTACACGCTGGCTCTTTCGTGCGGCAACGTGGCGTGGTCCCGAATTAGGTGCACCTCGGTAGGTCGAGGTCGGGAGACACTGCCGTGTGGCACCACGATGATGCTCTTCTGGTCGACGCCGACAGGTCCCGCATCATCAGTGTCCACTGCACGTAGCCATAGATAGTGGACGGCCGGATTTCTCCTTGCGCATGTGAGCAACCGTTGGATGAATGCCGTGTGGTATGCACCGACATTGCCACGTTCATGCGCGAGATTCTCCCAAGCGAAGCACCCCGACCTTCCGTTGGCCCGTCGTGTCCAACCTGGCAGACCTAGGTGGCCCCGCCATCCAGGGGACTATCTCGGGCGTCCCTTTGTGGCCGCGTGGCGATCATCGCGGCCCGACTTGCCGAGCTGGTATTCTGACACGCGGCTGAGACGTCCTTCTCGGGATTGTCTCAGCGGAACTCTAGGTCGACAGGTGGTCGACCATCCCGAGGGCTCACCAGCACCTGGCCCAGCCAGATAGCCTGGGCTTTCCACGCGGAGGTCGTCGTGGGGTCGTCGACCCCGAGGAGGGGGGTTGTCCGTTCTGAACCGCGAAAATGGGCGGCAGTTTTCGTCAGCTGAGCTATATTATGCTGAATCAAGAACCGCCTCAACGACACCCCAGGGAACATGCAAGTAGCATGTCAACTATGCAAGGGTGACCTGTCAGACGAAATTAAAGGACACAACAGCGCTCAATGTGTTCTTAAAGAGGTACACTTCTACCCATACCTTGTACTAGTTCGGGAAAGGTGTGTTTTTTCAAGAAAAAGAAAGGTTTCTGAGTGCGAACGGACTGCGGCTAAGGAAAATCTGGCAAACTGTAACTCATCCGTGAAGGAACAAAAATTTATCTGAGCAG